AGAAAAATAAAATACTTTCATATCAAAAACAATGTATGAAAATAGACCATCAAGCAAATTAGCGCAATTTGTGCCACACTTGTATGACCAGAGCCGCAATTTATCGGAATACGGCGGAATGTGCAACAACCAGCAACCGTGGTCGTTAACGATGTAGGCAATGGCAACATACAACAACAACAGCAGCAGCAACAATAGCAATCGCAACGGCAACGGAAAGCACACAAAAACCAAAGCATACTTATATGGGCGCGCAGTTTTGAGTGAAATAAAATTTAATGCCATCAACAGGCAGAGCGAATAGCTGATTGCGGGTAGAGTACGTGGCCCGCGGGTACGGAGGGGGCCGGGGCTTGGGTGGAAAATGTGGTGAAAATGTTTGCGGCGCATAAACAAAAATTGTTGCCACCGCGTAGGCAAACACGCTAAACCATTAACTAAACAGCAGCAAATAAAACAAAACACTTTGCCAAATGTCTCAACGAACAGCAGACACTCTTTAAATCAAATTATTTTCAAATATCAAATTAGGTCATATAAATAGTGCAGACTTTTTTTTCTCTACAAAAATTCCCTTGTTAACCTGTCATCAGAGTAGCCACTGCGTAATCTTTAAAAAAAATTATTAACTCTTACTTTTGGTTAGCGTATAACCATTGCAGATGACAAATAGATTGACGAGGAGAGAGGAGCTGGGCGATGTGGAAAGGGAAAGAGCTGCATACCCTCTCCCCTGGGCATACCTACACTATGTGCGCGTGGGCTGTAAAAATAGCTGTTACCCAAAAATAGCGGCACTTAATGAAATAAACCAACCCCAACCCTCAAACGAACCCCACTATTCCACATGTTGTCAATGCATAAAACAATTTGCAACGGAAATTGCAATAATTAACTTTAGTACCTGCTTGAGTGACATAGTGACATTTGGCGGGTTGTTTGGTTGTTCGGTTGTTTTGCCGGGCGGAGGGAGGAACTAGACAGCTGCTGTAAACTGGCATCAAAAACAGGAAACTTGATGGGTGTGTGTGTCGTCTGGTGTGCGTTTTTCTAATTCAATTAAAATTGGCTGCCTGCTGTTGCTGCTGCGACAAGGACAACGACAACGCCAACAACAACGCAGCGGCGTCTCATTATGGCGTCTGCATATGCAGCCCAGCCCCTGCTTTTGGGTGCCACCCGGCGCCTGAGCCGTGTAAGCATCTGTTTACGCTTGTATTGGTGTTAATGTTAACTGTCACTGCATTTGGCCGTGTGTGCTCGCATCGGGTCCTGCCTGTGCTCTCTGTCTCTCTGCCTCTCTGGCTGCATTGCTGTTTTAGTTGATTATGTAACTGTAAAAACCATGTCTGTGTTTTTGTGCGTGTGTGTATTCGAGTCCCGTTGCGTGTTATAGATTTAGGCCATGTTGCTGTCGATGTTGGTTAGCGTTTCTTGTAAATAATTGAATAACAATGCCTGCAATTTTTCAACATCATGTGACAATGTTTGTTTTACTCGGGGTATTAGATTGTCTGATATTGCATATTGCCGCTCCCAGCCTATTTAGATAGCCAAAAACAGCATTTACTGGGCCATTTATAAGCTCAGCGCAATCCGATAAATTGAACTCGTTTAATTTTAATTCATAATATTAATTATGTATTCATTCTGATCTGATTAACTTAAATAACATAAGCTTACTTAAAATTATTATATATTTTTTCATATATCGATTAATCTTTTTGTCGTCTGGAACAGTTTGTTAGATATGGTAAAACTTTATTTATTTTTTTTGGTTTATTAAGTAATTTTTCCAACCAAAGTAAATATTTATGTAATGAAAACTATCGATATCTGAGAAAAGCGATGTTTACAGTTGAAAATCGATGCTACCGATCAATAGCTTATTAGCATAGCTGATTGCTGTTGCCTTATAAAACATAATATTGCTATACGGCAATTGCGAAATATTAGAGCCAATTTTAATTAATATAATAAGTAGCCGATTGGGCTAAAGTTGCCTGCACTTGCCCCAGTTCGTATGCCATGGATCATATTGCGCTTTTCGCATGTATTGTGTGCTACTAAATAGTTCGCAAGGGGCGGTAATCAAATCAAATTGCAAAATTTCCATTATTATTGCTATATCGGGAATCATAGATTCGCCAAGCAGAATTTTTAATGAATATTTGAATTGCATTCTATGCAGCCGGATTGGTTCGCATTGGTTTGGATCTTATTTATTTAAAAGCGCGGGCACGGTTGTTTAGAGATGTGACAGGCAAATATTTTTCAAATTGTCGCAAAATATCTCGTATAAATTGACCATTAAATATGTATATAAATGCGCACACGTATCGAGCTGAAATTGAAACTTAATTATAAACATGAACTGCCCAAATAAATGCTAATCACATAAAGCACACCCCGAAAAGCCCTCGGTAAATATTAATTTAACCCATTGGTAAACGAGATAAAAGTAAATATGAGCATAAATGACTGAGCAAAGCGAATTGAAACTGCTTCTCTAATTCTCGAATTAGGTATTTCGAATATAAATTTTAGTCGAAATTTATTCAAGCATTTCTAATAAGCTGAATGCTTATGTACGCACACACACACACACACTCACGCAGGCACACACACACGCACATACACGCACACACAGTGTTTGTCTTTGGTATGCACAATGTTTCATGCAAATTATAGTTTCGGCTGGAAATTTCATTTTAATCAGATCCCAAAATGATGACAAAGGCAACACCATGAGTATCATAGACACGACATGTTAATAGATATTCTGTGTGGGCGGGGCTGCTCGAACAAAGTGATTAATTATGGTTAATAAAGAGGAAAATCGTTACCGATTAAAGTTGTTGCTTTTATTTTGTATATTAAGCTAGTTTGATGTGCATGGAATATTTATTTCTTGACAGTTTATATGCTTGAGTTCGTTTCAGACGCACTGAAAGGGTTAAATGAGCCAATTAACATGAGTTTTGGGGTTGATAAACATTCGAAAATTAATAAATACACGCGTAATACATGCAAAATACATTTCAAAGATTTGAATAATGTGTATTAAACTAAAATTAAAGTTTAATTTATATTTATATATATTCATATATCTTTCTCACGAACAAATGATATATATTTCCAACGTCTGATAAGATAAGCCCATGCACGTCTTCATTTTACAAAATTTTTAATATGATTTCTTGATGTCCAATTACATTGGCCGCGCCTTGCTCTTTCCTGCCCCGCCTACCCGCTGCCCGTTGGCGAGGAAACCGAGCAATGCACATTATTCACATGGAGCGTATAATTGAAATATCGTGACTTGGCGCTATACAATGCCCGGCACATAAAATTTTATTAAATGCCGGTCGGCGACAAGAACAACGAGTACAATGGGAAAACTAGACGCACCAGCCATTATAACTTTGGACATAATTTATGATAGCACTTGCCGCACTCTCGCTTCAAATACATGTACATATCTATATATAAAAAATATACTGTTCCCAGAGGGAGCGCGAGTACATTGGCTTTGTGTAATGGCTATCTATGAATCTATAAAAGGAACGTTAGTACTTAGCTCCAAACTTTGTAACGATTTGTTTGCGTCGGTAAATTGTCAAGATTGTAATATTCTCTATCTACTACAGTGCTAGAGGCAGAATAAAGAAGCTGAGCCTGTTGGTTTACAAAGGATCAATTTTAAAGGTCAGTTCATATGCTATATGCCTTAGAGTTTCGAGTTAATATCTGGTTTCAAGGTTTTAGAGTCTTGGTGATTTTTAAAACTTATACTGACCGTATCAACGCCACAATATTCACACAAAACATGTTCCGTAATCAAGAATCCTTTAGCCTACTTGCAGCTGTTCCTTCATAGGAAACAGAGTATTTTATAGTCGTAAATTTAAAAAATTTACTTATTTTCTTTTCATATTTTGATTTTTTTTTTGAAGCTTCATGCATTTATTTTGAACTTTGCGTGCGTGCAATAATAAATACAAAGCACGAAGCTCTGTCAAATTTGCCAAATGCCAGCAGTACGAGCACAACAAATACAGATACAGATGGAGATACCGCAGACACTTAAAGATGCTCTGTACTGTAATTGTAAGTCACTTTGCATGTGCGACACGCAGCCTGCCACATCCTGCATGTGTGCGTGCGTATGTGTGTGTGTGTGTGTACGGAAACGCGTGTGTCTTTAAGTAACGATACACTTGTGTTTCTACTGACGGCCCTGATGCCGCTGCTGATGCTCTTATCGCGCTTCGTAAATCACGGAAATACAATGTAACAGTTTGTCATAAAGTTGGCAGCCGCGAGCACACGACGTACTCTCATCGGGTGCAGATAAATTAAATATCTTAATGATTTTCAACAACAAAAGGCAGCGAATTTTATTTATTGTTCGCACACCTACCGCATTGTATCCCCAGATGGCATTTCAGTGAAAGCGATTTAAATTCAATTTTCAATGGCAAATTATAAACCGATTGCAATGGGCGTGGAAGCCACCTGACAGGCGATTAATATTGCCAGCTGGCGTGGTATCTAATAAGATGTGTGCTAGTCCATAAAATCACAGATATCAGACTGTTAAGAGGCAATGTGTATACAAATTCTGCGCCTTAAGGCAAAACATTTGTATGAGGTTAGGTTTAGGTTAAAGTCTAGCTATTGTTTATCCAGCTAATAATGTTTATGGTTCGGTGATTTTGAATAAATGAAGGTCTCGATTCAAATAATGTGTATTTAATTACTTCAATTAACATCGACGTAAATGGAAGCTAAGTAGCTTAAAGCTAAACTGTTGGGCTTGGCTGATTTTATGGATAGACTTTATAAAAACTTATTAAGCACTTACGCAGGTAATTTTAGACTTTAAGTTCTAGACTTATCACTTTCTTTTTCACGTATTACGCACCGCATCTAAAGCAAGAATTTTTAAGTAGTTGTTTCATAACGAGTTCAGCAACTTACGTACGATTTGTAATATTTATACGAAGAAGAAAAAAAAGATCGTCTTGATTATACAATTGTTTTTGAAAATAAATTTAATTAACACGCTCGACTAACGAAAATTGTTCCAAGCAACTAAATCAGTTTCGCTACGCCCTGGATCAGTAATATATATGTCAGTAAGATATATCGTCTGTCATAGTCACTACGAGGTTGCACTATGAAGTTAACACTATTTTTGATTTGCTTGCTTTTCGCAATCGATTTTAGTTTCGGAGATGGAGATGAAATGCAGCAAGCTCTTGGAGGTGAGCGCCTTGATTCTACTCACAGCGTGATTCACTTCATTTGATTTCTTATTGTACTAAGGTATTTGTGGTGGTGCGAGTAAAAATGGTGTCTGTTTAAAGGAGAATACTTTCAACTACAATGTCAGCACTAGGAAATGCGAAAAAGTGGAACGAGATGGGGGAGCTTGTGGGTTCTTTAAGTTTAAGAAGAGATGCGAAATAGTATGTAACAGTGTGAAAAAGGAATTAGTTCACAAACCAAGCCGCTTGCCTCCACCGATCTCGAAATAAATGCATATTGCTGATATCTAAACATGAAATTGGCATTTTATAATTGCTTGTTGGCTAACACTGGGAGACTACGTTTGCAGTCGCAATGTTAAATTTGGTATGGACTGTTAGGATAAATACGATAAATTAAAAAAGTTGGGAGCGAGCTTTTTTTCAGGTTTGTTTTCATCGAGTTTACAGTATAAGAATCTGGTATATAAATTGTTTCATGATGTGTGCATCTGTAACTAAAATGCATAAATTCCAATTAGATGCAACCACTATATAATATTAACTCAGAACTTATTTGTTAGCAAACAATATGCGGATTTGGGGCCGCGTAGCACTGGTGCTCTTGCTGGTTTCCTGCAGCAAGCCTAGTATGAAGAATCGTGAGTTCATTTTGAAAAATACTGTGGCTAGCTCCACTTTACAAGTATAATTAATATTTATAATTATAGAGATATGCAAACTCAATACGGGCAAAATAAAGTGTCCAAATGGCTTTTGGAGTTTTAATGAATCCAACCAGAAATGCTTTAATGTTAAAAGGGCAAGCCGCAAATACTGCGGTATGTTTTTTAATAAAAAAGGATGTGTTGATTTTTGCATAAGAAGTGCTTATGGCGGTCGCAAGATTATTAAATAGCTTGAAAATAAAAATAAAATGGACAATTTCTGTATAACAATCAAATAATCTTTAAATGTTAACACTTTTTACGCACTCTCAGATTCTTTTCTCTGTGTGTTCAATATTTTGTACATTATGCAGTTGAATTTGGAGAATTACTTCTGTTTTTTAAGCTCTTGCCAATCTGCTAATAATTTATAAAGAAATTATAATATAAGTAAATAAACAAAGCACTAAATTGCGTAATTAAAATAGGAAATAAGTATATTGCCCATATTTTATAGAGTATTTAATCTTCGTCTCCAGCCGCAGCTATTCTTTATTGTTTCAACTTTTCAAGCAACTTACAAACTGTGTTTTTTTGGTTTTTTTTTGGTTAGTTTTATGTACTTGTGAGTGACTTTATTTTAAGGACTTCTGTGGCAGTGTCATTGGCAGTCGATTGTTCTTGTTTGTTGTCTGGTTTGTCGCTGGCGCTAATGAAACATACTTCCAGTGCGTTGTTATTTCATTTGTTATCCTTCATCTTCAGTTGGCTGATTGCCTGGCTACCCCGCACCCGCACCTCGGCCTGCCCAACAGCATTTAGCTCATTTTCGCTGGCACTGCTCGGTTTCTTGTGTCGTCCGTTTTATTAGATTTTATTTGCTTAGCCTTTATTTGTCTTCTCCCGTCATTCTCGTTCCAGCACTAAGTGTCCAATTTTAGCTGGGTGTTTTGTTCTATCCATGCCATGGACATTCAGCGAAAGAGTGTGATAATTTTACATACCCTTGACCAATGTTACAGAAGGGTACGTTCAGAAAGGACGGCGTTAATGAAAAGCATTTGATAAAATATTTCATTCAGTATTTCAAGAGCTTTATTTAAGTTCGTATGTAGTAACTTTCTGCGACGAAATGACAAAGTAATATTAATTAATAATCTTTAAAGACTTCAAGTGCTTTAAAATAAATATAGTTTCCTGACAATTTCCTATAGGGTATCTAAGAACAAGCAACGTCTGTTCGACGTCCGATTCTTTTGTTGTTGCTCTTGTCCACAGCACAGGAAATTTTTGTAGCCGCATTCCTTTTGTGCTTTTCAGCTGTGGCGCTCCTTTTATTTACTTTGGCCTTTTGTTTGTTAGTTTTGTATAAAAAGTTTTGCTTGCCCACAGCTCAGGCTGAGACCAGCTGGCCACATGTGCCTGCAAGCCAGCCTCGTCCAGTTTATAGTCCTTCTGGGCTGACCCTTTTTTTTTCGTGAAAGCTGTGTGTTCATATACGTGTGTGTGTGTGTGTAAATTCGTCAAGTTTGTAAACACAAATTATGACAATTAAGTTGACTGCTGGCTTGTTTGAGTTGCTTGGCTGCCGTCTGCAAACTTTGCTTGCAATTTAAGTCGAAATTGCATTAAATTTTCTTTTCATGCACATTACGCATACGCCACGTGGTGAAGGTAAATTCGATTACAAAATTGTTCTTTGACATGCGCTGCTGACGCTCCGTTGCTTAATTTTCATTTTCATGCATTTGTGTGGCAAAAGTTGAAGCTGCCAATTGCAGTTGGCCCCAGGACCTGTACCCACAACGTGTTAAAAGTGCAAGGTGCGAGATGCCGGCATTCACAATTGTTCATTAGATTAGCAAGTTGGTAAAGTTTGCAGAGCTCAAATGCCACTTTCACGGCTGCTGACACACTCGAGTTGAATCCGATTGGATTTCTTTGCAACGTTTCTTCTTCTTCCTTTTTTTTCTCTTGCAAGTATTTTATGAATTTTCTTATCAATGCAAAGGCGAAGGCGACAAAAATTTACGTGCAAAGTGGCAAGTTGTGACAACGATGGGAAGGACGACAGCGGCAAGGACGCAATGACAGAATGAGTAGCAAGCAAAAGTGTGTGTGTGTGTGTGTGTGCGTATGTGCATGGGTCTGTTTGTGTGTGTCTGTGGCAACTTTTGCGTACTTGTGTCCCTCCCACCGCCTTTCACAATTTGTCATTGGAAGTTGCTGCTGGAGCTGCCGATAAGAAACTTTGGCTTGATATGAGTAAAATGCGGCTATTGATGGTAAATGTTAGCAGTAAGTCCCCTTGGCGCTTTCTGCTTGAATTAACATTTGTAAAGATCTGACTGTAAGTATAGCATGGCAAAATAAATATTTTATGAGTTTATTTGAAAATTCCGACATATTAAGTATGTAATATGTTTTTAAGCATGATTATTCTGATTATTCACATTATCAAAATTTTAATAGGATTATGTTTTGCTTACTCATGCTCTTTTTAAATTAGACATATTTTTTAAAATATATTCCACTTCAACTACAATTTCGCATTTAAGGCAAAGTTATCTACAAAGGTATAGAATTTCGGCATATTTAACTTTGAATGTGTATAGTACACAAAGACAATAGTCAAGCACTTAGATTCGAAAGGTTTTCGTTGGATTTAATGCAGTCAACTACAAAGTTTAATATTTATTTTCTATCATTATAAAATTGTAATCTATTTGTTATCTGTACCTGCAATGAACATAATTTGTTTTTAATATGTATTAAAAATATCTAAGCATACATATTTGGCATGAGACATCACAGAGCAATATACAATAAAATGTTTAAAATGAAGTAAAAATACAAGCTTACATTTTCTTTTGCTTTAAAATCAGAGAATATTTTATTATTCTATTTTATTTTCTTTCGTGGATGCAGAGTCTCTCATGATCGTGCTGCAATATCTGCCGTTTAAGATGGGTTAGTGCTCAGTTACATATGCACAAAAGATACATATGTACATAGATACAAACATAGACGGGCGCGCACCCATCGATGTGCGCAGCTGTTACTGGGCCTTGGCCGGCAAATACAAACACAAATACAAACAAAGAGCACAAACACACAGTCAAACACACGCACACGGGCAGTAGGCAAATGGAAGCAAAAAGAGAAACACTCGAAACGCTTTTGGGCTTGTCTATGCGTTTGTGTGTGGGTCGCACCGCTGGCAACCTGCAAACTTGTTAAATGGCGCGAAATTCTTTTCAATTTCAATTTCGGACTGTAGGCATCTAACATTTTGTGGCAGTTGTTGTTGTTGTTGCTTGTTGTTGCTTGTTGTGCTGTGTTCTGGGAGTGTTCAAATATTTGCATTCGAAATCAATTGGTTGCGTTTTGTGTTTATTGCCTTTTGCTAGCTGGTAAAATTGAACGTGTTTTCCTTCATTTGTGTTTTCTGTTGTTTTCAATATTTCTGTGAGCTGCGAGCGGCATGTTGACAACCGGTCAGCTGGGTTAGCTGGTCAGGTGATCCACTTCTCTTTTTCGCCTAACAAAACGCGCAACGCAAATGGAAATTCAAACGAGCTGGCAACGTTTTGAACCCGTATGTCAAGCCCCCTTGCTCAAATGAAAAAACAAAGAAGAGTATAAGCTCTAACTGGGCGTAGCTTTTGGCTGTTTTTGTTTGGGCTCGCGGCATGGTTTAGTTTGCACAGCTGACATTTTGGAAAAAGGAGAAAGAAAAATTGTGCATACGCCACGTATACCACAAGCGATCAGAAGAAAAATATGCCTGCAAAATAAACAAAATTAAACAAATAGATATATGTGCGCTTATATGCAACAAATTGGCCCATAAATTATGGCCATTGGCCTAATGCATTTGGCCTCGTATTAATCAATGTGTCTCCCGGTTCAAGTTTGCATCTTTTTTGTTTTTTGTGCGGCTGCGCGTTTTGCACTTGTTGTAATTTATTTGCTCGGCACAATTATTTGCATTTTATTTTGATCAAATGGGTAAATGGATTTTTTTGTCTGCCGTTTTCAATGTTTTGTCTAGCAGCAAATGCATAAACATAAATCAAATTGCTTTTGTTGGGATGCAGCGCAACATTGATTTGCATTGGGGATTTGTTTATAAATCCGCAAATACACGAAGCTCTAAATAATAGTTTAGCGTATTTATATTGCTTTTTAATTGGCCTGGCCTAGCTAACTTTTTTTATATTGCTGGCAGCATATGCTACCGTGCGGTCATTTAATTGCATACTATTTTTTAGATATTTTTGAATATACATTAAATTTTGTTTTTTTTTTTTTTTCAATTTTAATTTATATTGAATAATTAAAGATATGTGAAATTTATTGCACACTGCCTAAAGCGTTTGCAATTGCATGTGAGCGGAATTCTATTTAAATATGCTTTTGAGTTTGTTTCTATTTTATTTAAATATTTTCGTGTCCTTAAGCTAATAAATGTTTAAAGCTGATTTCATTTTCTTAATTTTAATTGTTTGTTTTGCAAACTCGAGCTTATGCTTTGAGCAAACTTTTTGGGCGGGGACTTTTAAAAATTTAATTAAAAATTAATGCCTAAGACAAACTTTCGCTGTTAAATGAATTTCTGCATTTCGCATTCAGCTTTCAAGTTACAATGT